CTAATTTGTGTTGGCTGCTATTGTTGCTCCCAGAAAAAGCTGCTGGTGGTGGTGGAGACTTCTGGAAGTCTCCTCATTTTATTTCCTGCTTTGGGCTGCTCTTGTAGAATAGGCCTACTTAGAACTCTCCAGAAATGGACAGAACATTGGAGGTCTTCAAGCAGAGGCCAGAGGACCACTCATCAGTGCTATTGTAGAGGGGTTTCCAGCTCAGGTATTGGTTGGTCTAGAAGTGGAGATGATCTCGGAGGTCCTTTAAACCTGTAATGTTGCGGCTCTGGATGCCTCAGAATCTTTTCCATGCTAAGTTCTGGGGTCTTGGAAGGCCTTTTCTACCGGTCATCCCCCATGGTGAGAACATACTCGATCTCATAGAGCTTCTTTCTTCCTTTAAGATGCTGCCCAAGTACTATTTTTCTGCATAAAGTCTTTCCTGTTCTCCCTTTCCCATGCTCCCCCTGCCAATTACTCAAGCCTTCCCTCTCAAACCGCCATGTATTTCATTAATTTGTGAGTATTTTTATTTATTCACTTTATTTTTATGCTGTATGACCAAACTTGAAAAGATGAAAAACAATAGTAAGATATGCCCCTTCCACAGTATCATAGATTTAGAAGAGGAAGGCAATTTTTAATTTTAATTTTTTACTTTTTGGTGAGGCAATCGGGGTTAAGTGACTTGCCCAGGGTCACAAAGCTAGTAAGTGTCAAGTGTCTGAGGCTGGATTTGAACTCAGGTCCTCCTGACTCCAAGGCCGGAGCTATATCTACTGTGCCACCTAGCTGCCCCTCCAGCAATCTTTCTACTCTATCATAATGCCTATCTCTCCTCTTACCTTCCCTCCTCACAGGTTAATTTTGGCAATCTTTATGGAGGCAGATAGGCAAATACAGTGGTGTTGGGCCTGGAGTAAGGAAAACCTGAGTTCAAATACAGCTTCAGGCACTAGCTGTGTGATCCTGGGGAAATCATTTAACCTCTGTTTACCTCAGTTTCCTCAACTGTAAAATGGGGATGATAACAATACCTACTTCCCAGGGTTATTGTGAAGATCAAATAAATTAATATTTGTAAAGTGCTTTTCCCAATGCCTGGCACATAATAGGCACTTAATAAATCTTTCCTTCCTTCCTTCCTTCCTTCCTTCCTTCCTTCCTTCCTTCCTTCCTTCCTTCCTTCCTTCCTTCCTTCCTTCCTTCCTTCCTTCCTTTATACCTCAATACTGTGATCCTGTGCTGAAGTCAAAATTTTCATCATCTCTCAGCAACCTTAGGGACCAGGAAGATTGATCAAACTCAGTTCCTCAGACTGCAAATCCAGTACTTTTCCTGTCATACCTGCCACACTGTCTACTCTTACGTGGCCCTGGGAAGAAGCTATTGTCACAGATGTCTCTCCTGTGTTTATTATTAATTAGTTGTTTTGTATATTTGTTTTTCATCCCAGTCTCCCCTTGCTGTCCACTGGACTGTAAGCTCCTTGAAGGCAGGGATAGTATCTTGTTTAATCTTTGCATTTCCCAGTGTTGAGCACAGTGCATTCATATATGAGGCATTTAATAAATATTTGTGGTTAAACTGACATGAAGAAAGGGCCCGTGGAGGTTGAGTTTCCCAAAGTCACATAAGTAATGGAACGGATTGAACCATACTGTCTAAGCCACAGGCTCTCTCTAAATTCTAAGGGTACCTCCGAGGTGAGATGAATGAGATCCTTGCAAACAAAGAAAGCCCTGGCATAGAGGAAAGAGCATAAGCCTGGAATCTGAGTGCCTTTGGATTATCCCTGCCTCAGTGACATACTAGTTATGTGACTTTGGGCAAACACTTCACTACTCAGTGCCTTATTTTACCTTTCTGTAAAACAAGGGTAAAAACACCTGTACTACATCCCTAACAGGATTGTTCTGAGGACTACTAGATTAATTATTGGGCTACTACAAGATTCTCCTTTGAAAGTCAGCCTCATTGTCAATTGTTGTGATGTGGATTTTCAAATGTGGCTCCAGCACCATGGTCCCCTTTTCCCCCACTGTGATTGTGAACACTCTTGGCTATTTTATACCTCTTGTAGGAGGAAATATCTTACAGGTTTTTGGAAGACCTAGGTTTGAATTTTAGCTCTCTCACTTACTGTGTGACCTTGGGAGTGTTTCTTCTGAGCCTCAGTTTCTTCACCTGTAAAAAGGGGATACTTACAACACCTTTCTCATGGGGTTATTCAAGCATCTAGATAGCAAAGTAGATGGGCTGGACCTGCAGTGAGGAAGACATGAGTTCAAATCCAGCCTCAGATACTTATTAGCTGGTGTGAGTCTGGGCAAGTCACATAGGATCTTTGCTGCTGCTACTGCAGCTAGATGGTATAGTGAATAGAGTCAAGAAGAGCTGAGTTTGAATCCTGACTCTTACTAGTTATGTGAATTTAGGCAAATCACTTAACCTCTCTTTGCCTCAGTTTCTTCAACTGCAAAATGGGGATAAAAATGACATGTTCCTCATGTAGTTGTTGTGAGGATAGAATGTTAATTAAGCATTTTGCAAATGTTAAAACTCTATATAATGTTAGCTATTATTATCATCTTTTTTCCCCTTCCCTGTAAATCTTCCCAACACTCCTGAGTATCTAAAATACATTATCTTCAACACTAAACTTTCGCTGATAAACCAGATACTCATTATCCGGTTCCAATCAGTGGACTGAGGGAGTTTTAGCAATAGCACTTACTTTCCTCCCATTCTGAAGAAACTGCAAGCGTTCAGCTCTGCCTGCTGGAATGGATTGTTAAGTCTCTTGGAGTCCTGCACCATTTAACATAGGCAACAAAACCAATATTCTTGATTTTTTCCGCAGGTTCCCTGGAGCTCAAGTCATTACTGAGCTCAGGTGAAGAGGCTTGCAGAGACAATCCTTATCATCCAAAAGTGTCTGCCCGAAATGGATTGTAAGTGTTGTAGCTGCATGGAATTTCCCAGAAATTAGCTATCTTGTTTAGACCAGACTAGTGAGATGTGAGACCTTTAGATCAGCTTCCTTTGATTTTTTTTCTCCAAGAACCAATAAGAAGGTGAGTGATTTAAGTCATCATTATTATTAAAGAAAGCCACAGAAGATAGCCCAAGTGGGTTGGTTTGGGGACCAGAATGTGGGTTTTGATTTTTTGATGTCTGTATCATGTCTCTACCCTTTCTCATGTCATGGCTGGGAACTAGCCTGACCTCCTTCAACCTTTCGTTGGTTGCCTCCAGATACAGAGAAATCAACTTGGTCACTGGGGAGGCTGGGGCACTGACCCTAGAGGCAACTGCTCTTATTCTAAAGTAGCCTGGCTTAATCTTTAGCACCTAGAAATCTGAGTTTGAAATGATTCATTCTGATTATGAATTTGGGATAGCAGCTTAAGAGAGGATTACCAGTGGGTGGCTTTGGAGAATGCCATGATCTTCTCTGTTTCACCTGGCCTAGTTGAGTCCAGGTTTGCCTGTATTCATAGTGATTAATGTTAATGATGTCATTTATGAAAGGTGGAGGTATCACCATTTAAAAGCAAGATGGAAAGAAAGGGGAAAACTCCAAAGCATGCTGTAAATCTCTTGGATGGTGAGAGACTTTGTCCATAAGCTATGATTTAGATGAAAATGGAGGAATTTAAAACGGAGCCCCAGAAATAGGCATTTATTTTGTTGTTGTTGTTTGTTGTTTGTTCTTGGAGACAACCGTAACATCAGCAAGGTGATGCCATGACTTGCAAGTGAATTGGATTTAAGTGAATGAGGACTGTGGAAAGTCACCAGCCTTACTTTCTCCTCCAGAGCCTTCTGGACCAGTGGCAATATGTAGATCAGGACAACTGGAGATGGCCCCTATTTATGTAAGCAAAACTTCGAAGCCTCCTCAGCTGCACTCAGGGACAGCTTGATGACCAGTCGTGGAATATGAATGTTCTGCTATGAGCCCCTGCACTACAGGAAGGCTTCCAAGGTTCTCCCTCCTTTGCCACCATTAAGAATTTATTTCCTTTGTATCTTAAAAGTTTTTCATGTCTAATAGTTCTCTATTAGAAGGCAAGTACCCTCAGAGAAGAGTCATACCTGAACCTTTACTAGCCATTGATGCATTAGCAGGAATTAAATTTTTAGGATGCTTTCCAAGAGGACAACTTAGTTGGGGCCTTTGTACTAGCTGTTCCCCCAGGCCTGGATTCCCTCTCCTCCTGGACTGCTTCTCAGAATCCCTGTTTTCCTTTGAAACTCAGCTTGTGTCACCTGTATGAAGTCTTCCTGATCATCCCCTAGCTGCTAATGCCTTTCCTTCCCCAAACTACCTGGTATTCATTTTATATACATTCTATATATGCTTGTATACATACATACATACATATATATATATACACACACACACACACATATATACCTCATATATATACATGTATTTTATATAGAAGTCAACTCCTCTATTAGACTGTAAGCTCCTTGAGGCAAGGACTTTCCCCTTTTGTCTATCTCTAGCATATAGTAGATACTTATATGCTTTTTGATTGAATGGGAGGAAGGCGTTTAAGAAATAGGAAGTAGGATTTGGGGTGGAGGGCAAGTGAAAAGGGACCTGAAAGGGGTGGTAGGAGGTATCTGTCTATGGAGAAATAAAAAAGACATAGCATAGAATGTTTGAACTGGAAGAATCCATACACAGGTAACAAAGCAGAGTCAGAATTTGAATCTGGGTCATTTCACTACAGATTCAATATACTTTCCAATGTACCATACTGCTTTTTGTGATTCCCTGTGCGACCTTGGGTAAATCACTTTTCCTTTACGAAACTCATCTTCCCTCATCTATAAAATGAAAGGGTTACAATTTGCTCTCTAAGGCGTGTTAGGGCATCTAGGTGGCACCATAATGCACAGAGCACTGAACTTAGGGTCAGGAAGACCTAAGTTTAAATATGGCCTCAAATTCTTGCTAGCTGTGTGACTGTGGAAGACAGATGGATACTTACGCAAGACTCGAACTCCATGCCTTAGAGCTTGGACACGGCTGGGTTCTATGGACATACTGAGCATGGTCTGTTGCCCTCCAATTGTGCAGACCTGGTTCTGCTGGGCTGCCTGGTGGAACATGATGGTAAGCTGGTCAGCAATGATGGTATTCAGGACCGAAATGACCACCATTGGGAATAGGAAGGAAATGAATGCATTGACCTGTGGAAGGAAAAAAAAACCAAGTAGAATAATTGTACTTTATTTTATCCTCTTACACAAAGTTCTCATTACTTTGTACCATGACTATTGCTGAAGCTTCCTTGATGGTTTCCCTACCTCCAGCTTCTCTCCCTTCCAGTCTATCTTGCAGAGATTGCTAGGTTTATTTGCTTGTTTTTCGAGGTGAGCCTCTAAAATGAGTCTGGACTTTGTATTTCACCAATTCAGGAAACTTCTGGTATGGAAACTCTTCACTGATGGTCATCAGATCTTCAGTTTATTTGTAATGATAATCATAAAGAGCTACTTGGGGGCATTGAGAAATTAAATGATTTGCCAATGGTTGCACAGCTAATAAGTATCAGAATCAGAATTTGAACTTAGCTCTTCCTGACTGTAAAGTCAATTCTCTGCCCCCTATGCTGCAACTGCTAGATGAATCATTCCAAAACATATATTTCATCTCTGATGCTTATAACTTGTTTGACCTTGGTCAAGTTACTTAATCTTTGTAACCTCAATTTCCTTTTCTGCAAAATGAACAATATGAAATAGATGGCCTTTGAGGTCCCTTCTGGCTTTATAGCTATGGTCCCACAATTCTTTCCTATAGCAAAATCTTCAGTGACTCTTCTCTGTCTATAGATTAAGGTCTATATTCCTTAGCTTGGAAGTCAAAGTCCTACAAATTTGGCCCCAGAATGCCTTATCTGTCAGTATCTCCCCTCTTCATGTCCCATACTGTCACAACACAAACTATAACATAAAGGACATTCCAGCCATATTGCTCTTATTGTCCACCAAATGAACTAATGCACTTTATATATTCTTTGTTCTTTGTTCATGTCATTATCCACTTGTCCCTCTATCTCTCTTATATGATGTTCAAAATCTAGCTCATGCCCTACTTCCTCTGTGGAGTCCTCACTGATCATTGCATTCTACAGTACTCTTTCTCTTCCTCCTCTGATCTCTTAGAGTACTTCACTGTTTAATTTGGCATATGGCATCTGCTATTGTGGGATTGTTAATTCATTTTTCTCTAGTGTGTGCATACCCTCTCAACAATTCAATTCAGTTGTAAACTCCTACCCCTGCAGAGGCTTGCACTGGCTTGGGCACATAATGGGATTAAATAATTCATTGAATGAATAAATGTAGGAAAGAAAGAAAGGAAGAAAACTATTCACAGATACTGAAAGAAGTATCATTAATAAAATTGCTATTCTCTCCTAAGCCTCCTACACAGCTGGCCCTCAATAAACATTAACATAACCCCCCCCCACAGGTGGATAACGGCTTTAAGTGGCTTTATAACTTTTCTTTGATTTTTAAAAAAAGACTTTTGTCTTCCTAAAATATTTTGACATTTCTTATTTCCAAGTACATATGGCTTGCAATCTCATGACAGGAGAAAAAAATAAGTTGCTAAATTTTTGTCTCTTCTGAATTGCTCTTAACACGTATTTTGAATTTCAGATCTAAATGCTTCTTGTTATATTAAGAGAAGATATCTGAAGCCATGGAGTCTGTGGCTTGGGTTTTAGGTTTATAAAATTCACTTTGAGAGCATTTGCACCTATGTGATTTTCCTGAATATAAACTCAGATTAGAGCTTATGTCTCTCTACTGTTGCCCTTGTCCAAACTCAGCAGCATCACACTGAGTATGGGAGAAAACAAGAGCTTCCATCTCCTGAAACTGGTTTTCCCTGGACTCAGGCATTCACTTATAAGGTTTATGTCTTCAAGTATGAAGGACAGCTATGGAATTATTCTTTCTAACTTGTGGGCTCAGAGGCTCCAATGGGAGGGAACAAGACCTGTTCCTGAGCTTGTCATTTTAATTATTTTGATGGACTGCAAGGCCAATAAGAGTTGACAGTGTGGCATAACAAGCACCTGCTAAATGAGTCAATATCCAAAAAGGTCTCAACATGCTAAAATGGTGGCCTGAATCTAGTAAGATGAGATTTAAAGGAGATAAATGTAAAATCCTACACTTGGGTTCAAAATATCAACTGCACAAGTGCTACAACGGAAAGAAGGGCCAGACAATGGCTCATGCAAATAATAAAAAAAAGAGAGATCTGAAAGCTTATTGCAATATGACTCAACAATGCAACATGATGGCCAAAAATGCTAACTTTAATAAAAGGATTGTACCAAGAACCATGAGATAATAGTTTTACTGTAATATACTCTGGTCCAATGATACCTGCAGTATTGTATCCAGTTCTAGATGCCACATTTCAGAAAGGACAATTATAAGCTAGAACATAGCCAGAGGAAACTGATCAAAATTTTGAGGACACTTAAAACCATACCACATGTTTAAAGGACCTGGGAATATTTAGCCTGGAGAATAAATGAAAAAGCATTCCTTAAGCATTTACTATGTAGCAAACACTATGCTGGAGGGGGAGAAGACTTGAGTGGGTGTAAGTGGAGATATAGTAGTTGCCTATGAGTATTTAAAATGTTGGGCAGATAGGTGGTGCAGTGGATAGAGAGCCAGGCCTAGAGTTAAGAAGACTTGAGTTCAAATCCAGTCTCAGACACTAGCTATGACCTTGGGCAAGTCATTTAACCCCATTTGCTTCAGTTTTCTCACGTGCAAAATGAGCTGGAGAAGGAAATGGCAAACTACCTCAGTATCTTTGCCAAGAAAACCCCAGATGGGGTCATGAAGAGTGGGACATGACTGAAATGACTGAACAACAACTTTCTCCTTTGTAAAATGAAGGGTCTAGACTAAGTGATTTCAGGTCTTGATCATGTGAAACATATCAACATGAAACATACGGAAAAGCTAAGACCTAACTTTGCTTAGCCATAGAGTGTAGAACTCGAAATCTTAGGTAGACATTGAAAAGACACAGATTTTAGCTTGGTCTAGGGAAGAATTTCTAATGAGCTGTCCAAGAATGGAAGAGGTTCCCTAATCTAGGAGATTTTCAAATTAAAGCTGGACGATCACTTATGAGGGATATTGTACAGCTCTAGATAATCTAGGTGATCTCTGAGGTCTCCTCCAATGGTCTAATACTTAACCTTAGGAAAGGATGAAATAGCCCAACAAATACTATTCTGAGTGGTCTTAAGTGAATCTTTGTCTCACATGTGCCTATTCTTTGGAATGCAAACTCCTTGAAGGCAGTAATTATATCTTGTATAGCTCTATGTATGTTTTCTAATAAAATCTTCTGAAGTGGCAGGTACTTACAAATGTTTTAAGTGACTAACAAAGGGACGGGACTGTTTCCATAATGTGGATTGCAATAATTAGAAATTTGGACTCAATAGTTAGGTTTATTTTAAAAAATTTAATTTTCCCCCAATTGTGTGTAAAAACAATTTCAACATTCATTTTAAAATTCTTTTCCTCTCTCCCTCCTCCCTTCCCCTCTCATTGAGAAGGCAAGCAATTTGATATAGGTTATACATGCACAGTCATGTAAAACATATTTCCATGTTAGTCATATTGTGAAAGAAAACAGAGAAAAAAAGAAAAACAAGAAAAATAAAGAAAAAGTATGCTTCGATCTGCATATTTTTGAATGGCTAAAAATCACTTTCTAAGTAAATCAATGGCACAAATTGACACAAAGAAGAATGTTTTAAACTCTTTCAGAAAACACACTGGTTTCCAATGTTTTAGAAGCACTCACCTACATACATTCAAGAAGCTTTCTCTGATCTTCTCCCCTCCCCATCCCTTCTTTCTCCCTTAGGTATGATCTTTTCCTGGCTTATAATTTTGCTTGTTTCTATTCACAATCTCCTCCCAGTAATTCATTCAATAATTGATAAGGTATTCCCAACCCTTCGTATCTATTCATTAAAGGAGGTGCCCCAAGAACTTGTCTTGGGCAACAACACACAAAACCAAAAACACTCTGTGGCCTAGTGTTTGAAAGCCATAAAACTCTATTTCTTTACCAAGACTGTGCAATTCAGACTTCACTTCTTCAAATGGACTTTCCCTGCAACTAGTCCAAATTAGCTAGTGCTATCATTAGCATGTTTCCCATTCTCAATGAAGGAATATATTTAGAAGGGCACATTTTGATGCAGTAGGTTCCAGCCTCTGAGTGACCTTGGATAGGTATGATTTATTTTCTTCCCCTTACAATTCTTGCCCTGTGATAAATCATTGCTTTGGAGCTAAGTGACAATTGAATAGTGAACTGAGATCTCTGCAGGATCTTACCTCCCTCACTACAAACCCTCCCTCCCCCATTCTTTGTGACAGCTCTGTTTTCAGAGAGCTTCCTGCAGATCTCTGAGGCTGGGGGATCCAGGAGAAGGGATGGATGGACTGTGCAATGAATGCCTAGCATCAATTTCCCCTGGGGATCAGGGGCTAATGCTGGGCCCCCTGACGTGACACAGTGTTTGATGGTGTCGGCAGCTCTGTGATACAAAATCAACTCCATGTGAGTCACCATAGCCAAAGTGTAATTTAAACAGAACTAATGTATCCAACACACTTTTAAAATGTCAAAACATTTAAAATACCAGTCCTTACTAGCTACCAAAGCCGCCGCAATTGCTGCCTCTGGAGACAAACAAAAGGAATGGAGTCACCCAGGGCTGCAGTATTTTTCTTTTCAAGTCTGTGTTGGGGCTAGAACCTGAGGCCGATGTCTGTAGTCACGGGTGGGGCATCTGCAACCACTGGGGAGGGAGTGGTGGGGGCCTAAGCTGGGGTTCCCCCACCAGATGAGCAATCATCTTCTGTCAAGTAGCAAGTCAAAATGAGTAGCTTGGGTTGGCCGGGAAACCACTTTGGACCTGAGCATCATGGAATTTAGAGGTAGGGGAGACCTCAGAAAGCATCTATTTTAAACACCTCAGTTTTACACAGGTGAAAACTGAGGCCAAGAAAGGAGAAGTAACTTGTTCATTTTCTTTCATATGGGTAGTAAATGGCAGCTAGGTGGTGCAATCAATAGTGGACCTGCAGTCAGGAAGACTCATCTTTCTGAGTTCAAATCT